TATACTATGTATCTATGTACATATTATTGTATATTCAACCAATAAGGTAACTATAATGAATATAATTATTCACGTTTCTAAGAACTATTCTAAACAGATCAGTGAAGAAAAATATTATAGTGGAATCTCTAATTAATTTTTGTATAGCAAACTTATAATAATTCCAAGGTAATAAAACTGATTCAAACTTGCTTTGTCATTTTAGAATCCAGTGCACGAAGGTTATGGTTTATTATGGTCACGTTAAAGTAGCGAATGTAAGAAATAAGTCTTTAAAATTCTAGGTCAGAGTTGCACTCGTGCGAAGCGTTGCACTCAAAACTGGAGTGTAAAATGTCCATGGAAGAATGAGCTGCTCTTGTATCGCACTATGTAGGCGACACTATTTCGCTCACTAAGTTCAGATATCGTTTTTCATCGTGTATATCTCATGGACAGTGCTGCGATGTTGCCATCTTAATGCTGACACGTCGTCTTTCAAGGCTCAAGAGCTCTGATTACTCTTTCTCTGATCGCTCTCAAATTTGCTAACTATTTTAGATTGATATATTGTGAAAAATATACAAATTTCGTCAATTGATTTGTGTTTTAAACAAAATATAACTTAAAAATATTTTCATAGAAAACGATTAATAATTTCTCTCAAAAAAATATTAAAGTATTCATTCTTAATTTAAGAAGAAATTTATTAATTCAAACATACAATCGGATATATATTGGATATACATAGTCAGAATGTATCATTGCTATAAGTCCTACTATAACTTTATGAGGCGTAAAAGACAAATCCAGATGTCAGATATGAGAAGAATGGAAAACGGGTTTTAGCTTACAAGGAACTTAATCGAGACAACGTTGTTCCGAAACGTGTTAGATCGGCCACCGGGAAAAGATTAAAAGCAACAATTTGAATAAGAAGCTTAACACGGCCGACACAATAGTAATTCCGCGCAATTTACATACTTAAGCGCCGGTTGAAACAGGTCACCGCGTCATTACGTAAATACTCTGGAGAAAGAGGGCGTTTCACGCGGAAATAGTGGTATAGTCATTAACAAGTTGTACACAGTGTGAATAGAATAGAAAAATATATAACTATTTCGATCGATTTCCGATTAATCGATTCTTTTTTGGTGGAAAAAGGAGGAAAATAAATTATATGTGCATATGATTTTATTTGGATATTTTATAAGAAATTTGTTTTATAATTTTTATAATTGATCATTTTTTAAAACATGGACTTGCAATCTGTGAATCATGATCCTCAAAAGGATTGCAAAATAATTTCAATATTTATAATGAAAATTTTCACATAAATGATTTATCGTTTATTGTGGAAGATATTAAAAAAATATCAAAGATCTTTTTAATTTTCATTAAATCTGATTTATTCTTAAAAATAAAATTAAAGATCAATTTCTAATAAATTCTACTTTTTTCCAGAATAATTTTCATTCAATAATAATTCTTCATATCAAAATCATTCCACGTTTGCATCTAATTTAATAACATTCGTTAAGATGATCCTCTCTCGGCGGCGAGATCACCAAGGACTGCTATTCGACAAACAGGAAACAAAGAAGGAAGAGACAAATGGTCTAATAACGAATAGAAGCATGTATCGGGGGAAGTTTACCTTGATTTGGGGAGAGTGCACGTCATAGGGTCGAGGCTACGATATAACTACGTCAGGATTCGTAAACTGGGTCATTGGGGCATTCGAGTGCATTTATGTGCATATGCATAGAGTATGACCTAGATTCGGGTGCGCGCGACCGTGCTCGCCCTTCGCCTGAAAGCGTTGTGTGCGTCCGTCAAAGAAGCTCGTCGAAAAATACGAGCCAGGTTCCGTGAATGTATGTCGATACCATCGGGACTTCCGAGTGAGACAGAGCGGGAGAGTCAAGCGGCGGCTGCTGCTCTGCATCATCATCCCTCTATGCTGTATTCTTCAACCATTTTTTTGAGTTGCGACCTCCTTTGTGATATTCGAATAATTTGCAACCTCATATTTTCTTTATAAGAGAAATTTAAAAACTTAATATTTTATACGACTTTATTATCGCAAAATGATTAGCGATACTGTTTTTTTCTGAAATTAAACAACGAGACATCTGGTACTGCTATGGAATATAATTATGCAATTGTATTAAAATAAATGAGCATTGAAAGTCATTTCAAATGAAAATGACAGCAATAATTATATCCTACAAATTATCTTGCGAGTCACAATCCATGTAAAGAAATATTGTTCTATAAGAACAATTAAATGATTTTAATTAAAGTGTACTAGAAACTATTACATTTTATAATACAATATACTTTATGTATCATTTGGCATGTTTAATTTATTTACATATAGATTCTTTTATGTTCTTAATCTTGAATAAAATATTTCTAATATAGATAGCTTATTTTGTATATCTCTTCTCAACAGGTAACATATAATTCTCAACAGGTTCAAATTTTGATTATGTGCATAAAAATCCAAATAGAAATAAATAGTTTAGAGCTCTATTTATCTCAATTCAGTCTTCACATTTCCTATGATTTTTTGTTCAATTAGTTAATAAGTGGATTCAATCAATAAAAGTTTAGTTAATAGAGTACTAAAACGTTCCATTATAAATAGAGTTTTTCTATATGGTAAATATATTACATAATTGGAATTCATATAAGAGATTATCAATTTTTCTCACTATTTATGATTTTTTATTTAAATAAGGATTCATGTTCAGATAAAGGATGGATTCAATCGATTGAAATTCAATCCATCAGATATTAATTAAAATTTCATCATAGTAAGTGCAATTTATACAAGTTGTATAAATAACGAGACCTTTAAAAGTTTTTTTTAACGAAGATTTAATTTTAAAATAATATTTTGAAATAGAGTTATCGACATGTTATCGAAAATAAAATTTTTAAAAATAAAAAAAAATTCAAAATTGTGCAACGAAAAAATCAATTACTTTAACTTGCCAAATAGCATCTTCATCCTTGATGTTATTTATAGTAGGAACATCTGTCAGAACTAATTACTTGCAATTTAAATATTTTCATGGAAAAAATATTAAAAATCATAACTAAAGACAGATATCATTTTTCTGATATTTGATTAATATTTCTTAAATTTATTCTACAATTTATAACACAAATATTCTCAAATAATAAATTATATTCATTGATATAATTTAATATATATGGTACAAAATATAAATTAAAATTATAATAATAAAATAATATAACTTAAAATTAATCGAATATAAAATTTAAACTGTTTTTAAAGTATTATGGCTGTCTATAATCCAATGATTATACTTATATTATACAACTTATGATTAAGAGTTAAAAATGATAATAAATTAATTTCTAATGATCAATATAATTTTAAAATAAAATGTATGAGTTTCTTATGGAAGCCGACTTTTCTGTAATTTTCTGTAGCTAGCATATGTGACGTCAATGCGCGACTTGCTTAACAAATGAGAGGCAGCAGCGCCTCCGCCTTTGAATACAATTATAACTTCATACAATATTCGTTCATGTGTTACACTCTTTCTTTTTTCTTTTTTTTCACTATCATCGTTTCTACTGTATCGTCGTGTTTAGATTATTATATTCTCTTTCAGCATGTTACAAAAGATATTAACAAAATAAAAAGAATTTACAAAATAAAAAAAAAACTCTCCTGATTTGAACTATAATAAAATAAAATGTATATAAATTATGGATTATTGGTATTTTTAAGGAATTTTGTGAAAAGAAATAGTAGTAATAATAATAGTACTAATAGTAATAGTAATGGTATTAATAGTAGAGAAAGAGAGAGTAGAGAGAGAGAAGTTTGAGATTCCGGGAAACTGGTTCGTGTTTTCGGCTTGACCGAAATGGGAGGCTTTATCGATTGAACCTCGGATGGAAGTTATTGCTGAGGACCTTGTGCTACGTCACGGATGGAGCTTTGTTGACGTAACTGCAAAAACAAAATCTTTTTATTGAGATTTAGTATATGCTTTTTTTTTCTAAATGAATTAAAATAAAATGTGTAGTGAAAATAAGACTTTTTTGATCTTTGATGCTTTTTTTTTTTAGATAATATTGGAATTTCAAAGTTGGTTTTATTCTTTTTGAAATTAATTATATAATCTTATAAATGGCGATAACTCTGAATTAAATTTTATATATACATAAGAAGCTAGGAAAAAACTTTGAATTATTAAAATGCACATTTTTACTTTTTAAAATTTTGTTGATTTATAAGAAATCTTGATTGCCTGACATTTCTTTTGAAATTTTTTATAATTTTACAAAGTCATTATTTTCAAAAAAGTGCATTATTTTTGTTATTTTTCTATATCGATACATATTTTACCAAAAAAATAAATATCAATAAACTAATTTTGCTATTTTGCTATACTTTGTTATTATGATACTTATATATATATATATATAATTTATCATGATTTATATTTTGATGCAAATATAGCTTTATTATAATACATGAGCTAGATAATAAGTGCATTCTAAATGCAGGAACAATAAAATAAAAGTTCATATGAACATATATATACTGCTTGACCTTATTTTCAAGTATTCATTTTTGTATTTTAGTAATCTTTTTCGAAAGTAGAATACGCTAACTAGATATATTGTTCATAATTCTGATTAATCACGTGTTGCAACATATATTTCAGAATTTATATGCAGTTATAAAATGCATAATGCATTTTTCTCTACACGTAATAAATAAAAATAAATAAAATATCATTTTTAGACATGTAAATTCAGTATCTTGGATTATTTATATTATTTAATTATTTCAAATATATTTTTGAAATTACGAAATGACGTTATGATATATTTGAAATGAAATTCTATGTTTTATCATTATTAAAATACCGAAAATATTATATTGGCATTAAGAATTCCACAATATACAATAACTAAATATACAGTTCAAGAATATTCTCTACTTTCTTATAATCTGAAAAAAAAAAATGCAACGAATTAATCATTTTTCAATTAACTACATATTTAAATATTAACAATTTCTGAAGAATTTTTCTTTTCAATAAAAAATTAATATCAACAATTAATTTCGATGATATTACCAACGATTAACATTAGAAAGACAAATTCAATGACCTAACACAATATCGACTTTCAGATAATTTTAGATTTAACTATGATTATACAACCATCAACTTTTATAGCCATTTTTAAATATTTCTCAGCATGCAAAATTATCTCGAATATATGCGCCATCCTTAATCCTTAAACCTTCCTTGGTTTCTTAATTTTTCTAATCGCGAAGGCGCCACAAAGCTGTCGTTCGAAACCCGTCTCTTCTACGTGCGTTCCCAAGATGGGTCAATGAGATACCAGAAATTATTCAGACGAAAGTCGCCACGAGTCGAACGTGGTTGGGCTCCGACTGACGCCAGAGGCGGAGATAACACCGACACGCTTCCGCCAGAAACGAAATATTCCGAACGGTTTGCTGCTCCCTCGTTGGATGTCTTGCCCGGCGTCTTTACTGCCGTGCAGGGATGCATCTATGCGCCGCTTTTTATTATGGCCACACTCCTCTTCTACGAGATGCGGGTCAAAAGTATGTGGTGAATGCATTTTCTTTTAGGTTATTTTTGGTAAGAATAACAAGATTGTAAGACAAATCATTATTTGTTACCTTGGGCAAATATTTTTCCAAAAGATTAACATCTAAGTACTTCGACACATGATGGATGGTAAGTGGAGATTATTAATATTTTTATTGTTATTTTTGTTTTTGAATGTGATTATTAAATTTTCAAATGTAATAATAATTATTTAACCTGAAATATATATTAAAAAAAATTAGAAAGTGTATTGTAAACATCGTAAACATGAAATTTTAGAATAGTTTTTTAATAAATATCTTTTAATAATATGATTAATTGAAAAAAAATGCAACGAATATTCAATAGTCAATAAAAATAGTTAATAAAAAATTGACTATGTGTAAATGAAGAAATATTGTAATTTTCATATTAATTTACTATTTACAAAATGCGTTATTTTATACAAGATTTTTTTTTTAATAAATTAGTATTTCTAACTCAAATAAATGTTAAATTTTTTAAAAATTTTGTTACTTATTGTTAATAATTCCAACAAAAAATCTATTCCATTATTTTATGCAATTTAATAACAATTTTTTTTCTTCATAATGTCTAGATTTTATAATTTCTATAATGATAAAATCATTGCTCTCGAAAACTGAAAATAAGGAATTCATTTTCGACGACAAATGAAGGGCTGAGAATGTAGTAACTCCTTTGACGTAATTTTAACGAGGCGAGGATTTTCACGTGGCACCACTTGTTAACAACGCACAAAGTGTGCTCCCTTTTAATCGGGTCGGTCTCCATCATAGCCGATTTCAAACTGTAATTGGATTGTGAGATCGTGAAACGGAAACGATTTTAGATCGTTTAAGATGTCGACTTTGAAGCACGAAAACTTTAAAGAACTTTCACATTGCGATATTCAATAAATAAGAATTAAACTGTTAACTTGGGATATTTTAATCATATATTCATTTCAAGATCGACGTAATTATCGTAAAAATTATTACTGCAATTTTTCAATTATATTTTTAAGCATATATATATTTAGTAGATTCATTATTTTTCGATTTTTATAAATAATATTATAAATATATTAATAAAATTGCAAGAAATATTCGTAAATATTAAAGAGTTACAAATAAAGAATTAATTTTCTGTTATTAAATCGAATTTAACATATATATTTCTTCGATTAAATAAATCTCGTAAAATCCATGTCGATTTTATCACCGCTATTCCGTCCCTGAAAATTAATAACGGATGTAACAGAAACAGTTATTTCGGTGAATGGTAAAAATAGTCGGATCTAATAAAGTAACGCGGTGTTCATAGACTGATATCACGATGATCGTCAGATAAGGAGGGACAATGGGATCCAACATCGAAATGAATGATAGCATATGCACGATATCTCGGACAATATTTCACGCTACGCCGTAATATTTTTAAGGAGATCACTTTTCCTCCATGCAATACGCTTTTGTCCACCGCTATTCTATATTTTCGATTCGAGATTCTCGAAGAGTAATATAGGTACATTATTAAACGGACCATCGCGAAAAATATAAACGTACATGGAATGAGAATAGAATATATTATCAGAGAAAAGGAGAAAAATGAAAATTCTTTCATCGTATTGTGATAAAGCTGATTTATCCATGCACAATGGTACATTATTTGTAGATACGTGGAACAGAGATAACGGTGATATAAACAAAGATGGATTAATGATCCGTGAAGTCCGATATTTGCAATTTTGATTTTTGATTATCTTCATAAGTTTCGTGTAATTTTCATACAAATTAATTATTAGATCATAGTTTATTATAATTAGTAGATATTATGAATATATGAAAATTCGATCATATCATCTATTTTATTAGCATTATTAGACTAAAAATTGTTGAATTTCTTTTGTTAATAATAATTTCTCGCATAGAGTTTCTAAAATCTCAGATTTAGATATTGTGAAAGAGAAATTTAATTTTAATTCTAAATTCAAAATTTAAAATTTAATCTAAATTTAAATTTAAATTAAAATTCAAATTAATTCAAAACATTAACTCAAAAACATAATAATCTAACCTTGTATTTATAAAATTTGATTTTATATTTTTGTGAAATTTTTTGAACTTATACTAATTAACGCTTAACCTAAAAATATTTTTTAAAATTATGTTAAAAGTTGATGTAAATTAATTCGATGTTTTTCCTTTGTTTATTTTCTTATTCTCTTCAAGCTAACCTAAATGCTACCACAATCTACACAAGCTACCTAAATGTACCAACTCCTAGTAGAAGTATTAAAAGCAGGAAGTTACTTTGCTGCGATTTCGCGCGAATTTGCTCGAGAATTCAACGGCATTCATCGTAGCCTCGAATCGTTTCTCGAAATGGTAGCAATCCCGCGAACTATCTGCTTCGCGTAAAGCGCTAGAAAACACGAGGAGAATCCACATATAACACTCACTCAGAAACTTTCTATCTGCTTCTTTTTTCTTGCACATTCTGATCCAACGATCCAGTGAGAGTCAATGGCAGTGCATTGTTGAGGCGATCGTGTTCACGGAAAGGATACAGCACAAGTACAATGCGTGCCTACGGCGAGAAAACAAAACGTGAAAAAGGAATGGCGGAAAAAAAGAGGAGACTGGCAAGGCTTTCGTAGAAATTACGGCGAAGCGCCGGTCAAGATAACGACCGGCTATTGTTCGTGGAAGTTATACTTCTTCTTTAGGGTGGCTTGCAACGGCTTCCTCCCAAGACTTCTTTCAGGCTTCGCCATGAACACAAGACGCCATGAACACAAGACGCTAAGTAATCGACGCATCGCAATCGGAACTAATGGATACCACGTGACACAGTTTTAACGAAAGAGTAGGGAATTGTGTTACTTTAGGGATTTTACTAGATCATAGGAATTTTATTTTTAGTATTATTTTTCTGGTGTAAAAATTTTTTTCCCTAATTACTTATCAGATTAATATTTTTTTACGATAAAAAGTTTATCACTTGCTAATTATACGGTTAATATATAATATAAAATGATAAAAAAATTGAAGAAAAAAAAATACAATAATTATAGAAGTATTTAAGTATAGGAATATTTAATTCATATATTCATCTTTAAAGCTTTTTATATGAAGTTCTCTTTGAAATTCTCTTTTTTTCGTTCGATACACTTGTAGAGAAAGGTTCATTAAAGACTAAAATAGGTCATCCTACATGCATACGTTGTGGTCTATAATATACATAGTCTCTTGGTGAGGTAGAAGTAACGTATTAGGACGATTGTACTATTCTTTTTTCTAAGCGATGATACGCTCCTATGTTTCATACTAGTAAGCTTTTATCATGCTCATACAAAACGAAACTATTACTTTTCGTGCACTTTTCTTTTTTGCTCTGTGTTCATTTTTTCACATACTATTTTTTTGAAAATGATGATTTCTATTATTAAAATTATAAATATAGAATATCTTTAAATAAAAAAATTTTGGAAAATTATGTAATATGTAATTAATAATGTTAAAATAATTATAAATATAATTTCGTTAATTGTACTAATATACAATTTTATTATTTTTTAAAATTTTGTAAAACTATATATTATAAATAAATATAAGAAAAACATATATTTTATAACAAATATTAATATCAAACATTAAATATTAAGCAACAAATATAATCACTTTTATATGAGCATACATTTATTTGCATATAGTATACATATATGATACATATATTTTAAATGAATCATTATATCAGATCAATTGTATTTGATGTTTTTCAAAATTCTTTTAAAAAGAAGACACAGCTAAGAAAGCTAACCTAACCTAATAGATCATCAACGACTAAAAAAGAAAGAAACGAAAAAAGAATGAAGAAACAAACTGAATCTAAATGAATAAGGTAAATATAATATAATATAAGGTAAATATAATATATATGGGAGGAAAAGTGCAATAGACACGAACAACGTGAATCGTGTACAAATATTTTCATAGAAATTATTTTAGAAAATGGTCCTAACGATTAAGTCGGATTTTCGACGATTCGAATTACTCTACATGATTATTTTTCACAAAATGAAATGGAAACACCTGGTCAGGATCTTTTTAAATATATATATTACATAGTAAAAATGTTTATTTATATAAATAATAAATCTTAAAATAATCGTTAAATAATAAATCTTTTTGAGAAAAAAACAAATTTTTTCATTTAAAATTATAAATAATCTTTTTCTAAGAAATTTCAACAATTTATGTTTATAAATATAACCTTGCATATTTACCCATTATTATAATTAAATGATATTTCAATTTATAATTCTCATAACAATATGTACACAATTCCTTTAATTCCAAATTGTCAACTTCAAACATAAAGTTCATCTCGTAAACCGCGACAATATTGACAAGCTTCCATTACCTTGTTGCATGCGTGTAAATTAGATGGTCTGCGAGCATCGATCACCAGGAACGTTTGAAGCGTGTCACGATCGTTTTAATGCAAACGCACCGTACCTATACCTGTATATATACATACGGTATATGCATATTGCAATCATGGCGATTCTACACAGATGATTCGTAACACGAAATATACACGTGTATCGTTGAAACAACTTACCGATCCGGTGTGCGCTGAGGGCGCCAATATACGCACATAAGCGTTTTATCAATAAATTCCATCTAACTGCGAGATTATCGATGGGATCCGGCCATCTCGTCGATGTCATGGGCATTGATGTTAAAACCAGATGGAATTCCCAGCCGGTAGACAGGACCATTAAAATAATTGTAGTTCTCGTGTCGTTAACTAACGGCTATAAATGATGACCGGGAGCCTGATTTATTATCACGCGGAACGACAATGTCGTTTACCGACCGAGGAACATGTCGAAAAGTGGTTACCAACGTTACATGCTATTAACTCTTCGCGAGTAAATTCGCTAATTGAGATTTGGATTTAGATTTCTGTAATCTATATTTGATTAATTATCAAAAAGAGGATGACGAAAATTTTAATATATCGTCAATATATAAACAATTATGTCTTGTAACATGAATAAATGTTGATAATATTAAAATTATTGTGTTTTATCGATTGTTAAAAAAGAAAGGATCGATAATTGAATATAGAGTAGATAGAAAAGGGGAGAACAATTATGGCAATTGTTCTTCTCGATCGTTGCATTATCATATAAATTGTGTATATTA